GAGTTGAAAAGGTAACATGATTTAGTCCTTTTTCATTCATAAACTTGGGCCCCATCTGTGAAAGAAATGAAGGATGTTAAGGGAAAAATATCATCAAACTTAAACATAATAATTGTGACCACAATAATATATACTCTGTATGTGGGAAAAAGAAGATGAATATGTCACACTGCAGTACACCATGCATATGTGAAACCCGTAGCTACTCTCAAGGGTCTCTCAGGTGTCCAATGTGACATTTCTGCTAGATCCTTCAATGAGTTCACATTGAAAAGGAAAAATGGGGATCAGACGATTTCTTCAAAAGGGTAGGCTACACCCAAACCCATGGTTACCTATGGTAATGGTTGTCTGAGACTGTAGGAATATACAAAAACAATTCTATAATATGCAGTTTGCTCCTCTAATTCACTCTGACAGAAATTGATTGCCTTATTTTTGTGGATTTCATACATATGGATGATTATTGGAACTATAAATTCATATAATTTTTAAAATTATACTAATATTGACTTCCATGGCATAATAAAATACTTTTAAACACAATCAAATTAATTTAAAGAAAAGTTGCCTACTAAAGAACATGACTGTTAAGCCTTAAAAGCACGATATGATGCTGAATTCATAGCATGATAAAGCTTATTTAAATTCAGGAAGAAGAAAAAATGGCATTGAAACATTTCACATACCTCTAAGTTAGTGCGTCAACCCAATGTGTATGAAAGTTATTTGCTTCCCTTATGAAAACCACAATAAAAAGCACATTTAAAAAATAAAAGATGAACAAAACCTATTCACAATAGTCAATACTTCCTTGTATGACACTAAAACCACATTCAAAACAAAGTTGAGATTAAGGTGATGATGGAAATATTAAATTACACTCTCTAACCCCCTAACTCGGTTGGTTCCCATGACATTGGGAATCAAAGTCATGGAATGACCCAGGGGTGTTCCAGTTCCTCGTTCATAAAATTGACGATTCCTACCTCCTCTCACCCAGTAAACCCTCTCACCCTGCCCCGGCCCGAACACACCCCCACCCCCTTCAATTTCACCCCCAAGTTAATTTTGACTTTGAAGGCGGTGGGGGGGGGGGGGGGGTTTACTGGGGGGAGAATTAGGGGGGTAGAAATTGTTAATTTTACTAATGGGGAACTAGCCCCTTATATGTAATCTAACAATTTAAGTGATAGAGATTGAGCCTAGAGCTCTTTAGCCAGCCTCACAGATAACTCCTATAGATTTAAAAAGCTGGGTTATTTTTTAAAAAAATATTTTTTTATTAAATGATAAGAAAATAAGTTATGGTGCTAACCACGTGAAGCTTGGTAAGTTTTTTTATTCAATAAATAAGTTATTACTTCAAAGTTGGGAGCCTACAATTTTGAGAAATGGTTGAATGTTCCAAGTATAAATTCCTCTAATTTTTAAACTTATACTCATACTGACTGCCAGGACAGAATACAATAATTTTTAACACAATATCTTATAAATCAATTTAAAGGAAAAATGACTACTGAAGAACACAGCAGCATGATTGCTAAACCCTAATTATATGTGAGTATGCTGGATTTACAGCATGGAAAAGCTTAATGAAATTCAAGAAAAGGCTATAAAAATGATATTCAAATATTTCACAGATGTGTTAATTTAGTGCAATCTCAGCTTCACAGTATGCCAGTCTGGGACAAGGAGCTGCGGCAAGAAGGAAGACATCTGATATAATAACCACATCCATTGCAGATCGCAACAATACTGAACGGGAGAAAAATTTATTACTTTGCATACTTGGGGCAGCTAGCGCAAATTTTGGAGAATCACCTGAAATCCATCCCGGCGGAGATAGGGTGAAATCTCTCCAATTCCAATACACACATACTAGTTTTTTACCCCGTGCTTCGCACGGGCTTGGGTTATGTGCAAGTGTTTGCAATTTAAAATTGTATATTCAGTGAATGAAATATGTATCGTGATTTTTTCTAAAAAATTTAATTTAAAAAGGAAAAATAGAAGAGTTGAGGACTCAACCAAAGCCTTCAAAAAGAGAAGAAAAAGCGGCCTCGACTTAACCAAAGTTCCTAAAAAAGAAACCAAACTTCAAGCTTCCAGTAACTACATCACTAAATATCTCACTCGAAAATAATGATTAAAGTGAAAACAGCCAACCAATAGCCAAACAAACCTTAAAACATCCTTAGCAATATTCAAACTTTTCAAACTCAAATCAAGTTCCAACCAAAGAAAGCCCCTCAAAAATTTGAGTACAGATTTTACCACCAAATACACTTGTTTCTACAGCTTCAACTTCATCCAATGAAGAAACATAGAAAAAGATTTGTGTGCAGCATTGAATTTTCATCCTCATGACCTGCCAAAATTTACACATTACCTAAGGCTTTTAAAAGGAAAGAGAAAAATAGAATCAAACTATGAAGTGCAGTAGACCAAGAAGATGCAAGAAGTAGACCTTGTTAACACAATACCCTACTTCCTTTTTATGTCACCTCCTTTAGACTCCAAGAAGAAAGCCGATTATAACTCTTTTGTTTAAGAGAACCTGCATGTATACCTCAAGCTTATATTTAAAATACATATTAGAGACCAAATGTCCATTACACAATTACACACTATTTATCAAACCACATATATAGTCTTGCCATGAAACAATAATAGAAACAGAGATACTGTTACTGACTATCTTTTGGGGTTATCTCTTAAATAAATATTTACATATATCAAATATGCACTCTCCATCCTGGTTTAATATGGACACTTTTCTTTTTGGAATGTTCTCAAAAAAATACACACTTGTTTACTTTCTTAAGAAGTAAAAAATGTGGTTCACAATTCTTCTCTTTCTTCCAAGTAAATTTTAACCACTCACATTTTACTATTTATTATTTTCCTAAAACTCCATAAGGTCAAACCATCCAAGCTAAATCGAGAGAGATAGAGTACTATATAACTATGTGCAGAAGATTAATTAAATATATAGGAATCTGTGAAGGTTGCATCATGTGAAAAATACTACTAAATCTTACCTTAGATGAATTACTTCATAATTGGAACTCATGGCCTAATTGGCAATGGGTAAGCTATTTTTGGACACACCAAGGCCAACATTAAGCAGGCACTGGACACTATCTTGGCCCAACATTTGAAGTGCTTCTAAAGGAGCACCATGATGTTCAACCAACCTGCAAGAGTAAAACAAATGTATTCTAAATACCTCATATAAAATTAGGCAAATTGACTAAGACAACACGCTAGACGAATAAAGAAAATGACGATAATCAAGAAATTTATTTCTAGAACCAAATATTTCACGATTCGCTTACCGCTTGCCATAAAGCGTAGTAGCCAATTCTATTGATGTTTTATTATTGAACCCCAGCTCTAATCGAACAACACCATTTTGCACCCAAAACTTGTCCAAAACATTATTAACATTTTTAGCAGAAATTTGCCAAACAGAAAACAAAATCTCAAGCCTTTCTAAAAAAATTTTCCCAAAACATCTTTGATACTTTCAGAAAGATAAGTTTAGTCTCAAAAAATGGTGTTCCTATTTAGTGTTTTTTTATACATCCCTCTCTAAACAAAATGATCATAAAGGATGCATAGTTGGAAAAAGAGTCTTTAATGAGTCAAGAGCAAATGCATGCGTATGACAATGTTTTTCCTAATAAGTATACAGCATAATATAAATAGCATTCAAGAGATAACTGTTACCTCCTACTTGTTCTTTGGATGGTTGAGATACAGGTTGCATCAGTTGAAAAGCCCTTTAAAATTTTGAAAAGCCCTTTTTTGTGCACAACCATCACCTTTTGTATTTAGTGCTTGATGTGGAGTTGTTTGTATACCCATACTTTCAAATACTTTTGTGAGTCCATAACTCAAAACATATCACAACGTGCAGGCAGTGAAATTTAAAGTTCACTTACCTCCATTGAACAAAATGAGTCTGCAAAGTACCTCCATTTCTATTAAGAGTGTATTCCTTTCACATGTGGTCATTTAGAAGTGAGACCAGAAGTCGTTAGCTTTAGGACAGATCTAGAAGAAATGTTCAATCATATCTGCATTCTTGCACCAACATCATTTGGAAGCAAGTTTGAATGTAGAATCTCTGTGCTGCAAAATAGAAGAAAACTGTTTATTTTAGACCATGAACATAAGGAAACAACCCAAGGTAGAAAGTGATAGTGATATCTTCCTTCTTTCCACTCTCCTTGCAAACAAAGTGATAGAGACAATAGCATTTGCATCTATGAATGGCACACACTTATATACGTCTAAATATTGGATCTACAAAATCTAAAATTTGAAATCAGTCAAGAAACTAACAATCAGACAACATATGAACAAACCTGTACAAAAATCCTAATAACATGTTGAAAAATAATTTCTCAAACTTGAAAGGCATGCTATAATCAAATGGAATGGAGAAATTAGAAGAAGTTATACCCCTTTGGAAGGTTTAGTGTGCCTCAATTTGGAATGCTGTAATGTAACGAAAAACCAGCTTTCATATTACTTCTACTTGAGAATCTGGAGATGAG